ATTTTCCCGCCTGACCCCATCAGTGCCGACCCAACTCCACCACCACACGCACGCCTCGCGGCGGATGCGCAGCAGCATGAGGGTTTCGGTCATCCCGTGAGGGTGATTATTCCTGGGATGTTGCCCTCATGTTTGGCTTGTCGGTGCCGACCACGTACCAGATCTTGTGGTCGGTGATCGACGCCATCAACAAGTCGCCTGCGGTTGGGGCATTCGACTTCCCCTTGACCGAGGAAGGCTGCATGCGAAATGCCAACAGATTCAAGGTGAGGCATAACGGTGGTCATTACTGCTGCTGTGGGTTATTCTTGGCGGCATTCTTTTGACCAGCCGCGGGATGTCGTTTTTTTTTCAATAATGTCTGGCGTTTCCAGCCGTTTTAGTGTAGGGAGGCCTATACATAGCCTTCGACGGTAACGCAGGAAAAAAAATGTCGTCCCCGGCGGATACAATGTTCGGATTGTCATATGGTCAGCATGCCTTTAATCGAAAAACAACCCCCGGGTCCCGGGTGGTTCGCCAGCTGTTGGTCTTTGTACAAATGGCCTTTCTACAAATAAATGTTGTTTTTTGGGTCATCATTGGGGTATGCTGGCCGTGTTGGTTCCTCCCCGCAACAGTGGCCCGGCAACTGCTTTTAGTCAACCACGTGGCTCTGAGATACCCTGGTACATTTTTACCGCTGAACCTGACGCAATATTAGGATTAGCAAACACGGTATGTGCACCGTTGCTGGTGATGGCGCCGTCGCACACGACATCAACCCACACAACGTACAGCCGAACGAAATTTACCGAAATTCGTCAACGTCCATCTCTCGACTAATTTTTCCCCCTTCCCGGCACTGCTACTTTCCCGCCCTCGTGTCTGCCGTCTACAAATGCAGGAGAAGAGCACCGATGGCATTTTCTCCTGGGTCGTCGCCGCCGTGGATGGTCTGTTCATCAAGGCCAAGGCTCCGTGTGCGAAGGACACCGCCAACGTCATCGCGTACTACTCCGGCAGCAAGTCCGCGTTCGGCATCAACGTACAAGCGATGTGCATCGCCGACTACCGGTTCTGCGCAATGTCGGCGATCTCTCCAGGCTCCACGAACGACTGGGTGGCATGGAATCGATCTTCCCTCGCCAAGGCCGTCGCCCGCTTGCCCGCCGGATTTCACATCATTTGTGACGCCGCCTACCCCATCGGAGAATAGCTTCTGACGCCGTACCCTGGGAGGCTCCTGCCGCCGGGTGAGGACTCGTTCAACTTCCACCTGAGCCAGCTTCGTGTCAAGATCGAGCAGAGCTTCGGCATCCTGGTTTCGACTTGGGGCATTCTGTGGCGTCCTCTCCGTGTGCAGTTCGGAGCACGCGCGGATCTCATCACGGCTCTTTTTCATCTGCACAACTTCCTGCAAGACGAGAAGGTAGCGCCGATCCAGCTTGCAGAGGAGGACTCCCGCAGCGGGCGCAACCGGCGGGCCCTCTGTGCTACGCAGCGCACCTTGCCGGCTGGCTGGCAAACGGAGCAACCGGCTCCTTCGAGGAGCGGTGAGACTGCGGCCCGAGCGGCTATCCGCACGGCCCTGGAGTTGAAGAAGTAGTGGAGGCCGGACTACAACCGTCGGAGGAATTCGTAAGCACGTATCCAGCTCGCATCGCGTCGCGTGCGCACAAGCGGGGAGTGGGGACGGGTCT